TGTTTACTCTAAACAATGTGAGAAATATGTTTTAAATGAAGCCACATTATTCATAACCTGGGGATATAAAGATCCAACATTATTTCGTGGGGGGGGGGTTGTATTGAAAAATCTATGGTTCGAATTCTAGATATTAATGATTTCATTACAAAACCGACATGCTGGTTGTATACAATTCCAGGTGAGTCTGTTCCGATTTCGTTTGTTAATTCCAATATTAATGAGCACTTTCTAGATACTACAAAGTTTTTGACTTATACAATGTCGGACAGACTCAAAATGAACATAACGAGAAGAGGTAAAACCGACTACAAAAACTTATACTTCTATTTAAGCTGTGGCGGATGTGGTGTTTGAATTAACTAATGATTCTTTTGTACTTGTTGAATGCTCGATTCCGAACTCTAAATACAGTACATTCGTTGTGCCTGTGTCTTCTTAATTCAATTGCGTTAATCCTTGAATTCCTAATTCATACGACAAATAGAATACTATATATTCATGTCAGTCCGATCAATGTTTAACGTACACCTAGTGCAAAGGATCCAAGTGATAACCAGGGTTTTACTTTGAGTCACCGATCAGGAGTAATTCTTAAGCCATAATCAAATATGATGGTGAGAAATCATTTGACAAAGATACATCTCACTAAGAAAGTAATCTATAAAATGCAAACGACATGTCACTTAATGTTAGTTATTTGTTGACTAACGAAGGCTTCTGTGATGGACCTTTCTATGAATTGAAGCTTATCAGAGGGATGTAGTTGAACACCGGTCAGTATTAGTGTTCTCAATACAAATCCAGTTCAGCGACTACTCCCTTAGACGATAACCATTCGGATAATGAGATACAAATATTAAATTCACGGTCGTTTAAACGATCGCAGATTTTCAGTATGTAAGCATTATGAACCTAAATGTTATTGAACAGGACAGCTCAATCTGTCAGACATGACTCCAAAGAATATTCGTTTAGTCTTTTTCATTTTGTCCTAATATTTGAACAAATTTCAAACTCCGCCTGGAGTCTTCTGATGATGACAACTGGTCTCGATCCCGGGTAAAAAAGGATGGTTGAACATAAGGTTAGAAACCACATAGAGTAGAAAAGAACCTAGCTAAACGATGACGACCAGAAAAGATCATTTAAACTGTACTGGGAATGGAAAACCATTTAGTAAGAGTTGTGGAATCTCATGGTGAAAGCTGAGGTTCTTCGGAAATCATAAGGCCGGTGTTTTTGTACTCTCATCATGAGGAGGAAAATGTCCCCTCTTCATACAAACAAGGAGATCTGGTGAGACTGTCCAGAGAAGCAAAGAAGCGCCTACAAAATGAGAATCTCATGGATCCGGGATCATTAAAACATCCTTCAAAACGAAGGGATTACAGTGAACGATATTCAGTCCCACGCCCACACCAGTGATAATAGTGGAGACAATAAAGATCAGTACAATGAGAGGCTGCAATCGGTCGTAGATAAGTGCCCAGAAAAGGACCTGACCATCCTTATAAGAGAACTAAACGCCAAGACCGGAATGGACAACATCGAGTATGAAGATATCATGGGACAACATGGACTGAAGGAAAGGAACAAGAATAGCGAGAGATTTGCAAATTTACGTGCATTCAACAAAATAGCTATAGGATGCACTACATTCCCCCACAAACGCATACACAAAGCTACATGTGTCTCTGCAGATCACACTAAATAGTACGAGGTCGATCATATTGCATCACGAAAAAATTCAGAAGACCCGTGAAAGTCATGAGAACATAAATATAAGCTGGCTTAGGTTCATATAAGTATCTGCTGGTTGCCAAAATTAAACTGAAGCTAAAGAAGAACTGGACAACTGGAGAAACAGCACTACAAAGGTTTAGTAAAGCCTTCCTTTGAGATACTAACAAACTCAACGAATTCATGATAGCTCTCAGCAACAGGTTCCAAGCTTTACAAGATCTACACAAAGAAAAAGAAACTACTATGGAGGACAACTGGAGAGGGATTAAAGAAACAATAATCTCGACGTGCTAGGAGGTTCAGGGCCACAGGAAGCATCATCATAAGGAATGTATCTCCATCGAAACCCTGAGTAGCATTCAAGAAAAGAATGACAAGACAACAATGAACATCAGCCGAACAAGAACAGAGAAAGTCAAGGCACAAGCTGAACACACAGAAGCAAACAAGCAAGTGAAGAGAAGCATTAGGGCTGGCAAGCAGAAACACGTGGAAGACCTAGCAATAACAGCGGAAAACGCTGAAAGAGAAGGAGATATGAGGCAACCGCATGACACAACAAAAGATCTAGCAAGGAAATATTGTAAACCAGAGTGACCATTCAAGGACAAATAAGGCAAGCCAATCACTGAGATTCAAGAATAGAAGAACTGGTGGGTAGGACAATTTGAGGAACTCTTCAATAGACCAAATCCATTGATTACACTGGATATCGAAGCAGCCTACACAGACCTTATAGGTGCCACCCAACCAACGATCACAAAAATCACCAGGATTATCAGGCAAGTCAAGAAGGAGAAAGCGGCAGAACCTGACAGTATGCCGGCTGAAGCATGAAAGTCGGACATAGAAGTAACAGCAAACATGTTACACGTTCTATTGAGGAGGATACGGGAGGATGATCAAGTGCCGACAAGTTGGAAAGGGGGATACCTTATCAAGATATGGAGGAAAAGAAATATGAGCAGGTGTAAGAAATATAGAGACTCCACACTACCAAATATACCAAGAAATGTTTCCAACAGTGTTGTTGAACCGGATCAAAGTTTCAGAAGACGCTCTGCTTTGAAATTAACAGACCGGATTCCATAAGGACCGGTCGTTTCCAGATCAATTTGCGACACTACGGATCTTTGATAAGCGGCCGTCTGGATGAGACCTATCACCATACATCAAATTCCTTGACTATGAGAAAGCATTTGGAAGCGTGGGTAGTATAACATTATGCAATCTTCTTCTCCGATGCGGTGTGCTTCAGAAGATCGTCAACATAATTGGAAATTCATAGGATGAACCACATTTCAGAGTGGTGCATGCATACAACAGACAGACACATTTAAGGTGAGAACTGTAATCGGACATGGCTTTTTACTCTCTTACTTCTTCACGTATAACAACTGACGGCTCGCAATAAACTTGGCGATTTGCACTTCGCACTCGTCCTGACCGCGCTGTCTCATACATACCAACAAATGCAGATGAAGACAGCCAGTGTAGCAGCAGTCTATGCATCAGTAGGCCTCAAAATACACAAGGAAAAAGTCAAGGTCCTCAAACACAATGCGCAGTCCACCAACCCAGTCATAATTGATGGAGAAATTTTGTGACAGTTGGAAATACTCATGTATCTGGGTAGCACCATCGATGAATAAGGAGGGTTTGATGCTGACGTGCAGGCGAAGATCGGCAAAGCAAGGACTGCATTCCCACAGTTGAACTACGTATGAAACTCAAAACAATTGTCAACCAATATCATAATCAGAATCTTCAATACGAACGTCAAGACAGTTAGTTATATTGTACGGAGCTGAAACTTGCAGAACTACCACAACCATCATGAAAGAGATACAAGTATTCATAAACGATTGTATACGTAAGATACTGAATGCCCATTGACCGGATACCATCAGCAACAGCCTACTATGGGAGAGAACAAACCAGCTTCCAACTGAATAGGAAATTAGGAAAAGACGCTGGAAGTGGATAGGACACACATTGAAGAAATCATCAAACCGCATGAGGAGGCAGGCGCTAACTTGGAATCCTGAAAGGAAACAGAAACGAGGAAGACCGCGGAACATATTGCGTCGGAATTGAAAGCAGATATGAAAGGGATGGATAGAAAGTGGAAAGGATTGAGATGGACAGAGTCTGATGGAGAATGCTGGTGTGCGATATATGTTCGTCTGCAAGGAGTGGCAGGTGTTTATATGGAGGTAAGCTAAAATCAAATATTCTTAAATTTCTCTTGCTATCAACTTGTAAGACAGGAATACTTCAGGCTAAAAGCTCTGTGACTAAACATATGCGCCGAAATGAGTTCTTCAACTTATTACGTAGAAATATATTGATTTAAATAATACCACCCATAAAACTAGCCGTCGCCATAAAAAATTCTCATAACAGTGCAGGAATATAGAGGGGTATGTAATGATGTTGTACATAGCCCACATATCTCTTCAGTCTTACCGAACACTGATCTGTTTTAGTCTTCAAATGTACTTGAAATACCCTCACCTCAGACTTATGAAAGGTAAAGTTCGTGAACATTTGGAATTCACAAAAAATAGGTTGCTTATCTGGATAGTTACTTAATTTACTTTGTGACAACTAAAGAAGATATTTCCAAATGCTTCCTCAACCACCTGTTTTATAAATAATCACTGGTTTATTTTTTTGTCCTTCAATAATAAATACAGAAGCTCCCTAAACTGTTATTAAGTCCTATAATATGTATTTCTTTAAAGATGCTGTTCCCTTCTCAAAGTTTTCACTGACTCGTTTTTCAAAATTCTTTTGATGTCCGCCGAATTATTCAATCTTGGAAAGAATGTTTTGATGAAGGATCAGTTCATGAATTATCTTCATCCTTATCCAACAATCACGCATTTTCAACGGGTAACAAATCTTAAGGAACTGTTTGCTCGCTAATAACTGTCAGACAATGATAGTCATGGCCATTGGATTTTGAACAATTTAAGGTTTAATCAGAGCGGCTCATATATTTCTAAAGGTTTTTGGTGAGTTGATCTATTAGATCCTGGTTTTGACCCCATTGTTATCATAATCTGGGGTTTTGTTATTGGTGATTGTTGTCTATTGACTTTCCCAATAAATTTAACTGCATTGTGTGCTGTAGCTGGGTCGTCGACTTACTTTCTCTTTTGTTCTCTTTCCCATCATTCCTCAGGCAACTCTGCATGCTTCCCTAGTTCTCAGTAGTACCTGGCTAGACGTGATTCGCTACAGGGTCAATGGGGATACTTGATAAAATCGCCGATATTGAGAATGAGATCGCAAGGACGCAGAAAAATAAAGGTTTTTATCGCCTTGTGTTATATTATCATTCTTAAAAAGCGACGGAGTATCATCTCGGTTTACTGAAAGCTAAGCTCGCCAAGTACCGTTCTCAACTACTGGAGACACAAAACAAAGCTACCAAGGTATGTCCATTCATCGTGCTTACTCTGTAAGGGTGAAGGATTTGATGTTATGAAATCAGGCGATGCTCGGGTATCACTAATTGGCTTTCCGTCCGTCGGGAAGGTTTGATATTTCTATATTCAGTTGCTGATTTCCTTGTTCTTCTAGTCCACTCTCCTAAATTCTTTGACTTCTACACACAGTGAATGTGCATCATATGAGTTCACAACTTTGACATGCATACCGGGTGTTATTGAGGTATCTCACATGATTAATAGTACATCATTTTCAAGTATAAAGGCGCTAACATCCAGTTATTGGATCTTCCAGGAATAATAGAAGGGGCGTCACAAGGTTAGCTACGTATATGTTTCGTTTTTTGGCCGTTTACACGGGTCTCAGTTTCCTTTATCTTCATGTCGTATATCTGGTGATCTATTTTTGTATTCATAGTTGGTACCGCTAGCTATGAAAGGTCGTCATCCGAACTTCTTTTATTTGTATGACTTTTATTCCAGGAAAAGGGCGGGGGCGCCAGGTGATTGCTGTTGCCCGAACGGCTGACCTCGTACTTATGATGCTTGATGCCACCAAGCCGGATGTCCACCGGTAAGTATTTCAAGAGTTACCCAAATAGAGATTACAGTCATAGTGTAGTGAACGAGAACACAGGATAGGTTTTAGCACCACAGAACTAGCAAAATGCTTAAAATTCTGACTAACATGTATGAGGGCCTTAACCAAAGTACTCGTCGTTTTTTCATCATACACATCTATAGCAACGAACTCCACAAGTAAGCACCACATATCTGTGTAGTTGTTCACAGCTTTTAGTGAAGATTTTCTAAATTTCATCACAAATCGGGAGAGTATGTTGTTCAGCACAAAAAAGTCTCATCTGAATTTTCATTATAACCACTCGGCTTAAACTGTTGTTTCTCAAGTAGAGACCCGTCACCTTTAAATCCACTAGTTGCCGTTTCAAATAGGTTGGTAGTATAAACCAACCGTAAGTTATCAATTCATACTTAGTTTTCTTCAGAACCCATCTCATGTTTTCACTAAAGGGGTTTATTTTCTAAATTCGATTTCAGAAAGTTACTTGAAAACGAACTAGAAGCTGTGGGTATTCGATTGAATAAAAACAAACCAAATATTTATTTCAAGGTAATTTAAAATTTGATCACTGTTCTAAGCTCCCTAATTTTCACAGTCCGTCATAAGAAATAACTGAACCCGTGGTTCAGTTTTATAAGTACTTGACGATGAACTCCCACAATTGAGTTATATCTCGTCTCCCTGTGACAGCTGGGTGGTTTCGTTTGTCAGTGACTTGGATTCGACCAAGCATTCACATACAAATCCATGGAGTATCTTATAGGAGCCAGCGATATTACATTGCTCTGACTTCGGAAAACAAAACAGGACTCGAATACTACCACAGCTTCATGTTTTTTGACAAGCTTTGACATAAAGTCTGATCACTTTCCTCGTATTGATAAATCATCTTAATTCCCGGTCTATCGAGAAGATAGTTGCGGTAAGAGTTGTCAAATACTAGCTTTAACATCCAACTAGGCGAGGAACACGATTAACTAAATCACGACTTTTTCAACGTTGGAGATAGCTAACAGTCGTATAATGTAACTTCGATGTTAATTTTTTCTTTTCCTCCAAGCATATTTGTTCTTTGCCACAGTACATTATTACTGATGGCCCCTGGTCAATGGGGAATAAACAGCTTTGTTTGACACCGGTTTTTACTTAAAGTGAATATGTGGGCTGCTGTTCATTCACGGCTTTGCAATGCGGTCCTTCGTAAGAGTTCTGTATAGTAGTGATCTTACCAGGTGATTCACGTCTCATATCTCCTCTTTCAGCGTTTTCCGCTGTTATTGCTAGGTCTTCCACGTGTTTCTGCTTGCCAGCCCTAATGCTTCTCTTCACTTGCTTGTTTGCTTCTGTGTGTTCAGCTTGTGCCTTGACTTTCTCTGTTCTTGTTCGGCTGATGTTCATTGTTGTCTTGTCATTCTTTTCTTGAATGCTACTCAGGGTTTCGATGGAGATACATTCCTTATGATGATGCTTCCTGTGGCCCTGAACCTCCTAGCACGTCGAGATTATTGTTTCTTTAATCCCTCTCCAGTTGTCCTCCATAGTAGTTTCTTTTTCTTTGTGTAGATCTTGTAAAGCTTGGAACCTGTTGCTGAGAGCTATCATGAATTCGTTGAGTTTGTTAGTATCTCAAAGGAAGGCTTTACTAAACCTTTGTAGTGCTGTTTCTCCAGTTGTCCAGTTCTTCTTTAGCTTCAGTTTAATTTTGGCAACCAGCAGATACTTATATGAACCTAAGCCAGCTTATATTTATGTTCTCATGACTTTCACGGGTCTTCTGAATTTTTTCGTGATGCAATATGATCGACCTCGTACTATTTAGTGTGATCTGCAGAGACACATGTAGCTTTGTGTATGCGTTTGTGGGGGAATGTAGTGCATCCTATAGCTATTTTGTTGAATGCACGTAAATTTGCAAATCTCTCGCTATTCTTGTTCCTTTCCTTCAGTCCATGTTGTCCCATGATATCTTCATACTCGATGTTGTCCATTCCGGTCTTGGCGTTTAGTTCTCTTATAAGGATGGTCAGGTCCTTTTCTGGGCACTTATCTACGACCGATTGCAGCCTCTCATTGTACTGATCTTTATTGTCTCCACTATTATCACTGGTGTGGGCGTGGGACTGAATATCGTTCACTGTAATCCCTTCGTTTTGAAGGATGTTTTAATGATCCCGGATCCATGAGATTCTCATTTTGTAGGCGCTTCTTTGCTTCTCTGGACAGTCTCACCAGATCTCCTTGTTTGTATGAAGAGGGGACATTTTCCTCCTCATGATGAGAGTACAAAAACACCGGCCTTATGATTTCCGAAGAACCTCAGCTTTCACCATGAGATTCCACAACTCTTACTAAATGGTTTTCCATTCCCAGTACAGTTTAAATGATCTTTTCTGGTCGTCATCGTTTAGCTAGGTTCTTTTCTACTCTATGTGGTTTCTAACCTTATGTTCAACCATCCTTTTTTACCCGGGATCGAGACCAGTTGTCATCATCAGAAGACTCCAGGCGGAGTTTGAAATTTGTTCAAATATTAGGACAAAATGAAAAAGACTAAACGAATATTCTTTGGAGTCATGTCTGACAGATTGAGCTGTCCTGTTCAATAACATTTAGGTTCATAATGCTTACATACTGAAAATCTGCGATCGTTTAAACGACCGTGAATTTAATATTTGTATCTCATTATCCGAATGGTTATCGTCTAAGGGAGTAGTCGCTGAACTGGATTTGTATTGAGAACACTAATACTGACCGGTGTTCAACTACATCCCTCTGATAAGCTTCAATTCATAGAAAGGTCCATCATAGAAGCCTTCGTTAGTCAACAAATAACTAACATTAAGTGACATGTCGTTTGCATTTTATAGATTACTTTCTTAGTGAGATGTATCTTTGTCAAATGATTTCTCACCATCATATTTGATTATGGCTTAAGAATTACTCCTGATCGGTGACTCAAAGTAAAACCCTGGTTATCACTTGGATCCTTTGCACTAGGTGTACGTTAAACATTGATCGGACTGACATGAATATTAAGCCGGACGCAGACGTGCGTTGGGCCAAGTCTTTACATCTAGGTATCACAGATAAAAAATGGCAAAAGAAAGCGACATAATGTCTTGGAAACAATAATATGAAAAATCAGACCGTAAGGATATCATTTCTAAAGAAGTGGGGAGGTATGTATAAAAGGATATTGGAATTTAAAGTTAAACGAAAGTAAATGAGTCAATATATCTGGACTTCTGTATGCGATTCTGACTTATGTTACCCATGGCCTTCAACCACTTGTCTCAGTTGTCATGTAAACCTAGCTAGTAGTCTCCACCTTTTTAAGTAATTTTGACCAAAAATCGGCGTCTTCATCGTCTGATGCAACCTTTCAGTTTGGCTAGCGCTAGCTCTCTTCCAGCATACTGAACATGCAAGCATTGCTCTTGAAGTTAGACGATGGTTAGATATGCGTAATACGTATATCAATCACCTCAGTTGATAAAGACTCGATACCTTTGTCACATACCTCATGCCTAACCTCAATAGTGCTCACGCGGCCATTCCAAGAAACTGGGACAAAATTTCAAGGACACCTGTAATTAGAAACCTTTAGCCTACCCATTTCTTTTACTGTCATAGACCACGTTTCACACCTATAAGGCAGGACAGAGCAGACTGTTGCACAGTATACACGCCTGCTGATAAAGTGACGAACCTCTTGTCTACGTCAAAAGTGAAGCAAGTTTTTAAGTATCAACTACCAAAAATTGGTATATAATATTGTATTCAGTATATTCGTTGTCTGAAATAAATTAAATGTTAATGTTTTCATAGGTTCATTTCTCTCCAGTTGTCTGTGTCTTTATTGTTATGTCATGCTGATATGGATCGTGTTATTTACTTGTACTATCTAGCAAAAGAAGACAGGTGGATTAAAAATCACATCAATGGTTCCCTTAACAAAGATAAACGAGAAAATGACTCAAATGATACTGCAGGAATATAGTATCCTTTTTTAGTCAATATTTTCACTTTTTTGCTTCTTTTGACTTCATTATATAACCGCTAATATATAAAGTTGTATTGTTGAACAGTTTTAATTAGGAACAAGTTGTGTTGTATATCCCATTCACATCCATGGCGAAAGGAGTCACAAAATTAATAATTTTTCTCATTGCTGTACGACTTTTTCTGGTCGTTTGCAATGTGACACTATTTGGTCTGTAAAATGAATTCAATAACTGCGAGAACATCTCTCCTTTTTTATGAAAAATTTGAATTACCTAAGTAACTCCCAAATGAATTAGAATTTTATTTGGCAACATTGTCAGATTAATTAAGACACTCTTAGCTTTGTACTTCAATTTAGAATACCTATAGTATCCACTAGCTCATCATATAGATCTATCATGAGAACATTACCTCATAAATAATTTGCCTTGAACAACTTCAAGTTCGCTCATCTAAAATGTAGAATAAACACAGAGTTCATGATTATTCAGTTCAAGTAAGTTTAAAACAGGAAGGCTTATTGTGGTATTCGGACATTTAGAAAATAGGTAACCCAAACGTTCGAGCAGGTCTCCAATCATAATCAAAGTCATTAAGGAAAATTAAGTTGTATATTACATTTACGATCCCCATAAATATCTAGTATGATCCGTTTTTTGTATTTCTGTTCACCTCAACTTCGTGTTGCCCATTATGTAGAAATATTTAATGCAGAAGTCATCTTTCGAGAAGATTCTACACCGGATGAATTTATTGATGTAGTAGTTGGCGGTCGAGTATATCTGGCTTGTCTTTACGTATTTCGGTTTCATTTCTTAAAAAAATTCTGTATTTAGGTGTATAATAAAATTGACCAAATATCACTTCAAGAAGTTGACAGATTAGCAAGACAGCCTCATTCAGTTGTTGTTAGGTTAGTTCAAACCTTTTTTTAAGAATTGTTGCTTATGCACGAGTTAATACTTCGTATTATTTTTCTCCAGAGTTTCCCTGCTATCTTTTAATGGGGCAGCTCGATCTGTTTTAGTAGTATATTTGATCTCATACTGTTCTAGTTGGTTTGTGAAATTTACGGTAAAGTTACTGTTCATTTCACTTGGTGTTGTTTTACTTGTATCTTCCCATTGTTACTTAGGACTGCGGTTGATAAGTCTCATGTTGGCATATGCGTATCTTGTGCGGATTACTTCGATATAGCCTTAAGTCACATGCTTTTTAAGCAGAGATGGATAGTGCAGTCCTAAATAACAATAGGAAGATACGAGGAAAACAACACCAAGTGAATTTAAACTTCACCCCATTGCACAAGCAGGTGGCTATCAGGACTCAGTAGCTAAGTGGATAACGCGACGGCGTTTGAAGCGAACGGTACGGGGTTCGAGTACTGGGGTAAACATCAACTCTGCGATGCACGTACATCCAACTGACGAGTCCTAAATAGCACGATACGTGCGTCCTGGATTCCACTGCTGGCCACTGTCCATCTTTACTGTTCACTTGTTTTTCACCTTTATATACCAATAAAGTGTCCTGCCTATCTCTTATTGTTGAGTAACGATCGTGAGTCTGCTGCTTGCTTGTTTAGACTGCATAAAATTTAATAAATGCTTATTTTATATATGGTTTAAAAACATATAACTAATAATAACCTAGGATAGTTGAAGTTCCTCGCCTAGCTCATGTGAGTTGTTAGTTTTTTAGTTTAGTCACTTTAAGAACTTGCTTCACCTCACATCTACCCCAACTTTCATCGCATGGCAACACATATATTGATCATGTATGCTTCTAACCACTTCAGTTTTCACAAGTTCAGTTTCATAGATAAAAATACTCATCCAAAACTTCTGCTTGATGTTTTACCGCTTATTAAGCAGTACTTTTGAGACGACCCATATAAAGATTTTTCAGCCCTTTGATTTTACTAACCTTCGCTAAGCATATAACATAAGAGTTTAATACTATATATATTATAGAACAGTTGTGTTCATGCATATGTACAATGTATTTCTGTTACCAAATACATTACTTTCTTTTTTTACCCAGTTGCAATCTAAAACTGAATTTGGATTACCTGCTAGAAAAACTTTGGGACTATTTGAATTTAATTCAAGTATTCACTAAAAAACGTGGACGTAAGAATTAATTAATGATTTCTGACTTCACTTAATTTAATTCATTAGAAAAACCAGATCTTGATGAAGGAATTATTTTACGAAACGGTTCAACAGTTGAACACATTGTAAGTTTCATTGTATTGTTTCCTGATAAAACTGGTGGTGAAGTTACTTTTAGAGTCTTTTGATATGCTCCAGGGATCTTCGTGATTAATGTTCGTTGAATGTTATATCTGATAAATCACTAAACTTTGGCATTTGACAGTTTTTTCGACTCAGTGGGACTGTCTAGCATTCAAATGTCTAATTTTGGTTATAATGCAACGACTTACACTTAAAGTATAACCAAATATTATTGAGCCCAATCATCCATCATATTTTTCTGACAAATCAAGCCAACTATTTCAAATACCTACATTCCAATAAGAGTATAGGCTTATTAGTTGTAGTGAATACCATAGGAGGTAACAGTTTATGAGTCTTGTTCACTTCATTTATTCTGTAAGTCTCATCATTCCTGAAGAATTATATGCTAATGAAATACATATATAGATGCAATAACTTGCGTAACTTGTTAAGTGTTCCCATATCTGAAAGCTTGTATGGTAATCAGTTGTTCTCACTGTATTACTCAACGTCTGCAAAACATAAATGTGAGGTTTGAACACATACGTAGGTTGCAAGTGTTTAGTCGTAGGTGCCTTAAAAGTTTATTGGCATATGGTTGCATTAAAGAGCAAGTATAAGTATTGTCAAAGTTAGACTCAGGACACAATAGCAAATAGTAGTTTATTGTTGAAACCATAAGCTCTCATGTCATTAGATGGCTGTTTCATTTTTTATACATATCTGGTCACTACCTACATCGATGCACCATTCTAACCGGTGTATAAATAATTTTAAAGACCTGTTTATAAAGACACTGACCTTTTGTTTCAGTTGAGTTGCAAGATGTAGACTTCTTAATTGGGGTCCACCTAAAAGTCGTCATCTATATTTTGAAATTAGGCACATTAATCTTTAACCTTTGAACTTACCACTGTAAGTAAATCTTCATTCCTCTATCTCAGTCCCTTTTAAACTAGATTTTAATGCTTAGTTTTCCAACGCAATTAATATAATTGGTTCCGCTCTTTTGGTTTTCATCTTGTAAATTCCCTTTGTCAATGTTTTGTTTTGAAGTGTAGTCACATGAACTAAACCACATTTGTCCTAATCCCTCCTTACTCTAATTGGTTAGTGTGAAAAATAATAATATACATTAAACCTTGTCATATTTTGTTGCCGAGTGTGTTCAATTTAATTGTTTTCATAAGCAGTTCATCATAAATTTTTCTTCATCCTACGATCTTTTTCTCTTTTTCATCTAGTGCCATTCAATTCACAGATCTTTAGCATCACAGTGTAAATGTGCTCTTGTGTGGGTAAGAATAGTCGAAATTCCAGTGTTTACTTTGTCATTTATTGAGTGGATAAATTCACATATTTTATTTGTCATAAAAAACCAATTCTTTATTAGTCATTTATTCTCAATGGTATATAATAGCCGAAATTTAAGAAGCCTAAATTGTCCTAAAGTTTTTTGAAAATGTTTGTAGCTCAACCTGTAAATATTTGTTTCTGTCAAATAAAATAACATGAACTGTACTAAAGAGTTTCACTCCAAACACGTAAAACCGATGATAATGAAAACGAAATACATGAATAAAATAATTAATTATTTAGAATCTAAGGAAAAGCTTAATGCATCACTATGCGTGGTAATTTGTTGACTACATCTAGAGACAAACTGTAGATTTAACACTTCGATGAACCGGACAAATTCGTAAGCAAAGAAAACTAAAGTTGATATAAAAAAAGCTTATATAAAAAATACATCACTCCGTTAAACTAATTTTTTCCCTCTTTACATTTTTAAGGGAACAAGTGTTAAATTCAGTCCACAACATGTTGGATTGAATCACGTCTTACATCATCACGATGTTGTGCAAATTGTAAAGAAATAATGATTCAGTGGATTAATATTTCAGTATGTTATTGCAAATTGAATTCTCCATGTCTTTCTTTATTGATGAATATATTGAATTTTTGGATGCTATGTAGTTTTACTGTTATCATAAGAGGGAACACTTTGGATGGACGACATTGACCTATTTCTGTATTGAATAAATCTTACCAGTTACATTGTAGTTCATAAGTTCGGATATCCCTCGGTTTATAATCGTTTAAGTTGTTCACAACCTATAAGTTGTAAGTTGCTTTTTTTTCCTTCACTGTCTATACATAGAACGAAAACTAATCCATAACTTCAAATCAAGCTAGTTTATAAGGACCAATACTCTGTAAACTTTTTACAGAACATTTACATATATTTTGCTTCTAAAATAGGTCTAGATTCTGTTATTCTCAACATGTTGTTTAGTGATACTTCTTTGATTGTTTATTTGAAAGTTGTCTAGCTAACATCACTACAGTATATCACGTAAGCCAGTTGGTGCGCATTTGGTGTTTGTTAAGTTACTCAGTTTATATGGCATAAGCTACCAAATTAATGTCTAAATTCAACGGCAACTTGCTATGCTTGTAATAATTTCTAACCATCAAATAGGACTTGATTTTGTTTTCATATCTGGTCAACCTCTCGATCTTAATTACTGTGGTTATTAGCCGAATTAGCAACAGTTTCTCGAGAACCGCAAATAAAAATCGTGAAAAAAAAACATTAGGTGTGTCTTCCTTTCAGTGGATTGATACTTCATATTATCTCATCGGTTTACTCTTCCTATGAATGGTGAGTCACAGTCCAACTGTTGTTGTTCTTGCACAATTTGAAGTACACATATATAATGTTTAAATCAGTTTTAGATTATAAAATGATGATGATTAATCAAGTCAGAGTACTGAGTTCAAATCAATTCCTCCATATTTCCCTATGCGTTTATATTTAGTTCAAACTCAGTATGATGGCCTGTTTTTATAGGCCTAGTTAAGTACTTTCATGTTCGTTCGTAGAAAACTACTCCATTTGACGACGTACTACTTTAGTATCAACGAGTAAATTCCACTAATGCTAAAGATATTTCTAGCTGACCATAGGTAGTTGACTTGATAGAGTATTGTGATTGTTTATTATGAACTGGCATGGCAAACTAGTTTAATCTAGAACTGTTCGGATTCGGCCGTGTAGAATTTCTTGTTTTCCTGATATCGTATGTGAAAGTATATAGCATTTACCACTGTCATGTTCACTACTGTCTTACCAGTTACATAAACTTATTCTCAATAATCGAGTATCAATCTGTTAGTCTACTAACAGATTATTATTTGTGTGATGCGTCAAAATGGTTGTCACTGTCGTGAAGTTAATGGCATTGTCCAATCTTGCGTTTTGTTGCCAACAAATTTATGGTGACCCTATAGATTATCTAATAAATTTCGGAACATTAGCTAGATTGACTGCGAAACCATTACGTCAAGCTGCCAAGTATCACTGCCTTCAAAATTTCCGGAATGAATAGCCACTCCTAGTTTACCCTATTGTCCATTATTTTGAAAAAATGCAACGTCTTGATATTAATAAAAAGACTAAAATCCAGATAGCGTCCTGTGAACTTCGTCTAGTCGATTCAAGTAGTCTGAGGAAGCTCGACAGATGTTTTTAGTACGGTGGTTAAGATCCGACTAGATATTGCGCATGCAAATAATAACCGACGTAAGAGCGATCAAACTGGTTACAAGTCATCGCCTTGACGACCAAAGACACAGGCTTATGGAAACTTAGCACAAGAAGTATGTCTAGGCTCCTATTATAACGGTTGATTTCCCAACCTTCACACGTATGGAACGTTAATTTACCTTAGACGAATATCTACACTAGATTCCCTCCCAGTGTCTGTTCCACAGGACTTCAACACAACTCAGATCAAGAACACGTGATTAGCCCGACCATAACGTAAATATATTTCCACATCAAAACCCGACACAATCCAACGACAATGAACAATCAATAATAACTGTTATAAGGTTAAGGGAATATATGACTCATCTGACACCTGTCGGACTATCTACATGTCTGACTAAGCAGACAACCAATCATTATCATTCTCGCCCTCACATCACTATATTTTTATCTTTTGATCTCAAAAATGATTTACTTTAACAGTAACTAAAATGAATATCAGCGATCTTAGAAACTAGTGCTTGAAATGGCTTGTAATCATATTTATATTAGTGACCAGACCAATCCTACTAAGCGATTTCAGAATTAAGAGGATTTCATTATTTCCCAAGATTAGCTATACCTGAACACAATAAATTGTTGATCAGGTGTGTAAATCTTGTAAGTTATAGTTCACTTCTTATCATTAGATGATATCATTTCAATAAACATTGAAAATCAGGATGTAATTCTACTGGTCGACTGCTTACTAGTAAGTGCGTCCATCCAACGGTGTTAATGTCTAACTTCAACTAATCCACGAAATTGAGCGACACATTCACCATTGTCTTCAGTGAGTTACTACCTGACAACAGACCTGGTTGAAATCCACTGGTCACTACTTCTCACTAGAAATCCAGGATATACCTCGTGAAGCCAGTCACTAGTGAGCATATTTTTGATTAATATCAGATGGCTTTTTGTGGAGATTGTATTAATTTCAATGGTGGTGGAGGTGGGATATTAAATGTATCACATAATACTTCCATTGGTAACGTTTTGGGTTTAGATGACTCATAAATATTTTTCCTATCTCGCAGTTGATTGATGTATCCGATAATTAGTGTATTTTCGACCATTACTTCATACAATACCGTTCCACGTCTTTTTATAATACATCCAAATATCCATTTTGGCTCGCCAGGCCGGAAATCACGTGTATAGACTAAGTCACCTGCTTTAAATTCTCGAACCTTCGGGCGATCCTCTTCCTTATTTCTTTGTGGTCCACTCAATCTGTCTTTCGGATTCAAAACATCAAAAAGTGTCCTAATTGGTCGGCCAAATATTGTTTCGGCTGGTGATTTAACCATATTACAGACAGTGCTCAACGGCAGGTCCTATAAACCAAATTTATCTATCCAGTCAATACCTAATAAGTTGGTATGACAGATTCCAGATACATAACATGTTCCGGTTATAGTCTTGTCACCCAATGTGAGAGATGGCTGTATTTCTCCAAGAAGAGTAATGTTAGTTCCTGTCGTACTCTTAGCGTTATAATATGTAGGGTGATATCGAGGTCGACCAAGTGTTATCCAAGTCTGTCTGGAAATTGGTGTTATGTCAGACCCCGTATCGATTTGCAGCTTAACAGGTTTACCATGGGAAAACAGTTACGTTCTTCCTTTTAGACGAGAATTGGGCACCTTTTGTGGCCAGAACAACATTCGAATTACGTGGGATCTCTTTTGATGTCTGCGTCTTATTTCCTTTGAGAAACTTATACTGATGATTGGCAATCTTTCGCCCATTTTTACAACATACTTGTGCATGACCATATTTACCACAAAGGATACAAACTTTTCTTAAAATAGCAAACATTACCCGAATGACGCTTACCGCATCGCCAACAACACGTCTTGGGTTTCATTTGATTTGGGATTTTCTGAGAGTGCTGATCCTTATTTTTATTAAAAGCTTTCCGCAAAGTTTTAACTCCCACGTGTTCACTGTTCCTTTCTACTAGATTTGTGTCATGCTTCAAATTAACCATTCTTTGACATTCCTTCAGATACTGATTGCAGACTGATATTAGGATCTTGTTCTATTCTCGTTAAAATACGTGTTCTGATATCTGCATCTACTGCAGATTGTAGCCCACATACAAAGACAAGGCATTTAAATTGATCTGAGGACATTTCCTGTAAACGGAACCGTTCACATTCCCGGTTCACCGTGCTTGCATACGTCATATAGTCGTCCTGCGTTTTTTTACAAGCTCGAGACACTGGTACCTAGTGTAAAAAGCTGATGATCGTTCACCGAATATACGTGTCAGGCATTCTACTGTTTCGCTGAAGGTTATTTCTGTTGGCTTCTTTGGGAGGATAAAATTGCAGAACTTCTCATGATCGGATACTCCGAGCTTCCGTAATAATAATCTCAGTTTCGAATCTTTGTACCATTCTCTTTACAAGCATTAATAAACAAATCCTCACGGTCCTTAAACCATGCCTCAAAAGTAATTCCACATGCCGGATCAAATCTAAATTCATTTGTTGAATTCGCAATAGAATCCGGAGTCATAGTGGAATTAGATACACTGGCTCTTGGGGATACTGTCATAATTTTGGCCAGTAATTATATAAGAGAATTTTGCTGCTCCTATAGTTTTCAGATCATATCCATTTTATTGTTGCAAAATCCACTGAATATATAGGCGTACATCCGTTTTAACCACCGTCGCCACTGTTACAGCGGTTGATTTTCTAACGTTCACACGTATGGAACGTTAATTTACCTTAGACGAATATCTACACTAGATTCCCTCCCAGTGTCTATTCCACAGGACTTCAACACAACTCAGATCAAGAACACGTGATTAGCCCGACCATAACGTAAATATATTTCCACATCAAAACCCGACACAATCCAACGACAATGAACAATCAATGATAATTGTCATAAGAATAGGGGAATATATAACTCATCTGACACCTGTCGGACTATCTACATGTCTGACTAACTACACAACCATTCATACTCCTACACAATCAAGTTTTCACGTTATAGCGGTGTGTTTTTGTTCATAACGGCCGTTATATAGCTTGAAATATTCTCGTGGTCGTTCACATAATGTATGTTTCGTGGGTTTGTCTTGTGTTTCTGTTTGGTTAACGACTCTACATCATTTGTGTTACCTGATTTTTTATATCTTAATATTGTTTGAGTGGATATTATTTGCATGGCTTTAGCTAATATATCCTAAATTATTTCATCTTTTTATTGTTATACCAATATGTTATCATTAATATCGTAAACGGACCATATTACGATTATGCATACTCAACTAGTTTATAACCATCATCTGAACTAACGCCATTCGCTATTCATACTATTCATGTCTGCTTCCGATTCTCAACGCAGTGTGTTCCTTTAGTCTTTCGTTTTTCTGTTTCCATTCAGGATTCCAAGTTAGCGCCTGCCTCCTCATGCGGTTTGATGATTTCTTCAATGTGTGTCCTATCCACTTCCAGCGTCTTTTCCTAATTTCCTATTCAGTTGGAAGCTGGTTTGTTCTCTCCCATAGTAGGCTGTTGCTGATGGTATCCGGTCAATGGGCATTCAGTATCTTACGTATACAATCGTTTATGAATACTTGTATCTCTTTCATGATGGTTGTGGTAGTTCTGCAAGTTTCAGCTCCGTACAATATAACTAACTGTCTTGACGTTCGTATTGAAGATTCTGATTATGATATTGGTTGACAATTGTTTTGAGTTTCATACGTAGTTCAACTGTGAGAATGCAGTCCTTGCTTTGCCGATCTTCGCCTGCACGTCAGCATCAAACCCTCCTTATTCATCTATGGTGCTACCTAGTTGTTCACAGCTTTTAGTGAAGATTTTCTAAATTTCATCACAAATCGGGAGAGTATGTTGTTCAGCACAAAAAAGTCTCATCTGAATTTTCATTATAACCACTCGGCTTAAACTGTTGTTTCTCAAGTAGAGACCCGTCACCTTTAAATCCACTAGTTGCCGTTTCAAATAGGTTGGTAGTATAAACCAACCGTAAGTTATCAATTCATACTTAGTTTTCTTCAGAACCCATCTCATGTTTTCACTAAAGGGGTTTATTTTCTAAATTCGATTTCAGAAAGTTACTTGAAAACGAACTAGAAGCTGTGGGTATTCGATTGAATAAAAACAAACCAAATATTTATTTCAAGGTAATTTAAAATTTGATCACTGTTCTAAGCTCCCTAATTTTCACAGTCCGTCATAAGAAATAACTGAACCCGTGGTTCAGTTTTATAAGTACTTGACGATGAACTCCCACAATTGAGTTATATCTCGTCTCCCTGTGACAGCTGGGTGGTTTCGTTTGTCAGTGACTTGGATTCGACCAAGCATTCACATACAAATCCATGGAGTATCTTATAGGAGCCAGCGATATTACATTGCTCTGACTTCGGAAAACAAAACAGGACTCGAATACTACCACAGCTTCATGTTTTTTGACAAGCTTTGACATAAAGTCTGATCACTTTCCTCGTATTGATAAATCATCTTAATTCCCGGTCTATCGAGAAGATAGTTGCGGTAAGAGTTGTCAAATACTAGCTTTAACATCCAACTAGGCGAGGAACACGATTAACTAAATCACGACTTTTTCAACGTTGGAGATAGCTAACAGTCGTATAATGTAACTTCGATGTTAATTTTTTCTTTTCCTCCAAGCATATTTGTTCTTTGCCACAGTACATTATTACTGATGGCCTCTGGTCAATGGGGAATAAACAGCTTTGTTTGACACCGGTTTTTACTTAAAGTGAATATGTGGGCTGCTGTTCATTCACGGCTTTGCAATGCGGTCCTTCGTAAGAGTTCTGTATAGTAGTGATCTTACCAGGTGATTCACGTCTCATATCTCCTCTTTCAGCGTTTTCCGCTGTTATTGCTAGGTCTTCCACGTGTTTCTGCTTGCCAGCCCTAATGCTTCTCTTCACTTGCTTGTTTGCTTCTGTGTGTTCAGCTTGTGCCTTGACTTTCTCTGTTCTTGTTCGGCTGATGTTCATTGTTGTCTTGTCATTCTTTTCTTGAATGCTACTCAGGGTTTCGATGGAGATACATTCCTTATGATGATGCTTCCTGTGGCCCTGAACCTCCTAGCACGTCGAGATTATTGTTTCTTTAATCCCTCTCCAGTTGTCCTCCATAGTAGTTTCTTTTTCTTTGTGTAGATCTTGTAAAGCTTGGAACCTGTTGCTGAGAGCTATCATGAATTCGTTGAGTTTGTTAGTATCTCAAAGGAAGGCTTTACTAAACCTTTGTAGTGCTGTTTCTCCAGTTGTCCAGTTCTTCTTTAGCTTCAGTTTAATTTTGGCAACCAGCAGATACTTATATGAACCTAAGCCAGCTTATATTTATGTTCTCATGACTTTCACGGGTCTTCTGAATTTTTTCGTGATGCAATATGATCGACCTCGTACTATTTAGTGTGATCTGCAGAGACACATGTAGCTTTGTGTATGCGTTTGTGGGGGAATGTAGTGCATCCTATAGCTATTTTGTTGAATGCACGTAAATTTGCAAATCTCTCGCTATTCTTGTTCCTTTCCTTCAGTCCATGTTGTCCCATGATATCTTCATACTCGATGTTGTCCATTCCGGTCTTGGCGTTTAGTTCTCTTATAAGGATGGTCAGGTCCTTTTCTGGGCACTTATCTACGACCGATTGCAGCCTCTCATTGTACTGATCTTTATTGTCTCCACTATTATCACTGGTGTGGGCGTGGGACTGAATATCGTTCACTGTAATCCCTTCGTTTTGAAGGATGTTTTAATGATCCCGGATCCATGAGATTCTCATTTTGTAGGCGCTTCTTTGCTTCTCTGGACAGTCTCACCAGATCTCCTTGTTTGTATGAAGAGGGGACATTTTCCTCCTCATGATGAGAGTACAAAAACACCGGCCTTATGATTTCCGAAGAACCTCAGCTTTCACCATGAGATTCCACAACTCTTACTAAATGGTTTTCCATTCCCAGTACAGTTTAAATGATCTTTTCTGGTCGTCATCGTTTAGCTAGGTTCTTTTCTACTCTATGTGGTTTCTAACCTTATGTTCAACCATCCTTTTTTACCCGGGATCGAGACCAGTTGTCATCATCAGAAGACTCCAGGCGGAGTTTGAAATTTGTTCAAATATTAGGACAAAATGAAAAAGACTAAACGAATATTCTTTGGAGTCATGTCTGACAGATTGAGCTGTCCTGTTCAATAACATTTAGGTTCATAATGCTTACATACTGAAAATCTGCGATCGTTTAAACGACCGTGAATTTAATATTTGTATCTCATTATCCGAATGGTTATCGTCTAAGGGAGTAGTCGCTGAACTGGATTTGTATTGAGAACACTAATACTGACCGGTGTTCAACTACATCCCTCTGATAAGCTTCAATTCATAGAAAGGTCCATCATAGAAGCCTTCGTTAGTCAACAAATAACTAACATTAAGTGACATGTCGTTTGCATTTTATAGATTACTTTCTTAGTGAGATGTATCTTTGTCAAATGATTTCTCACCATCATATTTGATTATGGCTTAAGAATTACTCCTGATCGGTGACTCAAAGTAAAACCCTGGTTATCACTTGGATCCTTTGCACTAGGTGTACGTTAAACATTGATCGGACTGACATGAATATTAAGCCGGACGCAGACGTGCGTTGGGCCAAGTCTTTACATCTAGGTATCACAGATAAAAAATGGCAAAAGAAAGCGACATAATGTCTTGGAAACAATAATATGAAAAATCAGACCGTAAGGATATCATTTCTAAAGAAGTGGGGAGGTATGTATAAAAGGATATTGGAATTTAAAGTTAAACGAAAGTAAATGAGTCAATATATCTGGACTTCTGTATGCGATTCTGACTTATGTTACCCATGGCCTTCAACCACTTGTCTCAGTTGTCATGTAAACCTAGCTAGTAGTCTCCACCTTTTTAAGTAATTTTGACCAAAAATCGGCGTCTTCATCGTCTGATGCAACCTTTCAGTTTGGCTAGCGCTAGCTCTCTTCCAGCATACTGAACATGCAAGCATTGCTCTTGAAGTTAGACGATGGTTAGATATGCGTAATACGTATATCAATCACCTCAGTTGATAAAGACTCGATACCTTTGTCACATACCTCATGCCTAACCTCAATAGTGCTCACGCGGCCATTCCAAGAAACTGGGACAAAATTTCAAGGACACCTGTAATTAGAAACCTTTAGCCTACCCATTTCTTTTACTGTCATAGACCACGTTTCACACCTATAAGGCAGGACAGAGCAGACTGTTGCACAGTATACACGCCTGCTGATAAAGTGACGAACCTCTTGTCTACGTCAAAAGTGAAGCAAGTTTTTAAGTATCAACTACCAAAAATTGGTATATAATATTGTATTCAGTATATTCGTTGTCTGAAATAAATTAAATGTTAATGTTTTCATAGGTTCATTTCTCTCCAGTTGTCTGTGTCTTTATTGTTATGTCATGCTGATATGGATCGTGTTATTTACTAGTACTATCTAGCAAAAGAAGACAGGTGGATTAAAAATCACATCAATGGTTCCCTTAACAAAGATAAACGAGAAAATGACTCAAATGATACTGCAGGAATATAGTATCCTTTTTTAGTCAATATTTTCACTTTTTTGCTTCTTTTGACTTCATTATATAACCGCTAATATATAAAGTTGTATTGTTGAACAGTTTTAATTAGGAACAAGTTGTGTTGTATATCCCATTCACATCCATGGCGAAAGGAGTCACAAAATTAATAATTTTTCTCATTGCTGTACGACTTTTTCTGGTCGTTTGCAATGTGACACTATTTGGTCTGTAAAATGAATTCAATAACTGCGAGAACATCTCTCCTTTTTTATGAAAAATTTGAATTACCTAAGTAACTCCCAAATGAATTAGAATTTTATTTGGCAACATTGTCAGATTAATTAAGACACTCTTAGCTTTGTACTTCAATTTAGAATACCTATAGTATCCACTAGCTCATCATATATAGATCTATCATGAGAACATTACCTCATAAATAATTTGCCTTGAACAACTTCAAGTTCGCTCATCTAAAATGTAGAATAAACACAGAGTTCATGATTATTCAGTTCAAGTAAGTTTAAAACAGGAAGGCTTATTGTGGTATTCGGACATTTAGAAAATAGGTAACCCAAACGTTCGAGCAGGTCTCCAATCATAATCAAAGTCATTAAGGAAAATTAAGTTGTATATTACATTTACGATCCCCATAAATATCTAGTATGATCCGTTTTTTGTATTTCTGTTCACCTCAACTTCGTGTTGCCCATTATGTAGAAATATTTAATGCAGAAGTCATCTTTCGAGAAGATTCTACACCGGATGAATTTATTGATGTAGTAGTTGGCGGTCGAGTATATCTGGCTTGTCTTTACGTATTTCGGTTTCATTTCTTAAAAAAATTCTGTATTTAGGTGTATAATAAAATTGACCAAATATCACTTCAAGAAGTTGACAGATTAGCAAGACAGCCTCATTCAGTTGTTGTTAGGTTAGTTCAAACCTTTTTTTAAGAATTGTTGCTTATGCACGAGTTAATACTTCGTATTATTTTTCTCCAGAGTTTCCCTGCTATCTTTTAATGGGGCAGCTCGATCTGTTTTAGTAGTATATTTGATCTCATACTGTTCTAGTTGGTTTGTGAAATTTACGGTAAAGTTACTGTTCATTTCACTTGGTGTTGTTTTACTTGTATCTTCCCATTGTTACTTAGGACTGCGGTTGATAAGTCTCATGTTGGCATATGCGTATCTTGTGCGGATTACTTCGATATTTGATCAGATATCCTTAGAAAAAGATTTTGACGCTATATTTGTGATGGGAATTGAGCTTTACTCTCACCGTGTGTCTTAACTTTTACCAGGAAGTACGGTCAATAATACAGGGCAGATGTGAATATATTCGCTAATTTCGGATAAACTACTCGTCTGTTATAGAGTGTCACCAGTATTCTCTGTGGCCGTGTGATTAGTGGAAGGCTTCAGTCGACAACCACTGAAAGCCTGCGATGGCAATCATTCATTAATTATTCGCGTTTGTTTCTTGAATAAACAAAAACGAAGAAACAAACAAACATGGCCGTTTAGACAAAATATAGAGAGCCTGAACTGCTCAAAAGAAGTTTTGCGTCAGTGGAAACCTCCTGAAACAAACTTAACCATAATTCTTACTTGACGCTATGAGAATAATGAAGTGAAAAAGTGCAAAACTATAGCAAGAACTTCATGATTGCTTTTAACATAAAATACATACCGACTTGATATACCTTTATTGGTTTATATCCCAAAGAAAGCGAAGAATACAAGGGGTTTAAGTCATAAAAGGTATTTGTCACGAGGACTTCAGGATCTCAGAAATGGCAGGGATCCACATTGACTATTCTCCCAATCAACCAAACCATTTATCAGATTCCTGAACATTTTTCTAGTGGCTGCCACTAATTAAATCAAAATGATATGTCGGTAAAATCACACATAGTAGAACAAGGTAAAATCTTCTGTCGTTCTGTCACTCATCTGTTCTTTAGTGATACCGATGAGCTGTCCAATTCATCATGTCTACAGCAAGTGAGTGGATGGACTTCTTATGTCTGATGATATTGAAGACCAAGAACAGAGTATTAACACTAATAAACAAGAAAGAAGAAATCAGTCAATTTACACTGTGTTATCACAAATAAAATATGTTGTTTTTGATTGTGTCTCGTTTTAACATGCTCCAGCTAGTTTTCGATTTCCAAGGTCGCTCGTCTGATGATTAGGTTTGCCCCTTTGTGGTGGCGTTCCAAGGTGATTTGTACTTTTTCGATAAAACTCGATAATATTGCTACATTTGACTTTTGCTTTTACATTGGATGTATTGCAGTCAAAATAAATTCCAACCCTCTAGTAACACTTTGATTTGCAGATACTATTTCTACTGAATATAATTCGCAATCCCCTGAGATACGCCATTAACCTCACTAGTGTCTGTTGGGTGAAACTTCAGTGTTTACACATACACTCAACATGGAAGTGCATTGCTATTCGCCGAAACTTTAATTTCTGGTTGCTAATCGAAGGCTTCTACTAATTTACGTCCATTTTGAGAGTTTTTCTGAGCAATGTAATTCATTTCAGAAAGCTTAGGCGTGAAATTACTAGAATCCTCGTCGCTGTTCATTCGATTCATTCATTTTTTGAAAGACATAAGTCGTTTGATTAGTCTATCTCTTCAAGCTTCGTTAGCTAACTTTTTAAATTGTATAAGATCGCATTGTTTGTATGAGAGAAACTCTGACCGTTTACGAGCCTCCGAATTCACTGGGGAACTCATGTGACATCAAACGAGGAGTAAATGATATCTGTTTCTTCCGGGTACAGAGAGCTCAGTAGTTTATGTGGAACATGTTCAAGTGGTAAAATGTACAACGATGTTTGCGCAACTCCAGGCTAACAGTGAGATGCACAAGAATGTCAACAATTGATTTTTGATTACAATAACTTTACCCGAATCGTATTGGAAACTTATACTAACTATAAGTTCATGTTAAGTAATCGAATTGTGCGAACACATACCTAACGCTCACCATGTCTCTTCGTTTAGGATTCCTACAACTCCGACAAACCCCTTGCGTAGTAATTGCTTGTTTCGTCATTAGTAATCAGTTGTAAAGCCATCGTTTGTTCTAGATTACAATTGAATATAACTTTTGACTAAGAGTTCATCGGATATGTAAAAAAACTTTAACTCGTCAACTTATTACTTGGCTGCACGTTAGTTCCGTTTTCATAATATCTGAGACTTAAATCTGACTAGGTCTTAGGAGCTGTTAGCACGACTTGTCTACAGCGTGTTCCGTGAGTATCATTATTTTGGGGAATCCTAATTGGCCCATTCTCAGCCAATCAGCGCTAACAGATAACTGGAGAAGACTCCGGCATCTTGTATAAAATTCTAAATACACTAACATTTTTATTACTGTATCACTCAACTTGGTTTATTTGGATTTCATTGGCGTATATGTCCAAGTCGTGTCATGATTTTCAGGACCAGTCAAGTGAGATCATGTTCAAATTCTGTTGCGCAATAAGGGTATCTGGGTCATAATGGAAGTTCTAACAGGAACCCAAGTAGGCAATTCAAGATATAACTTACTGTGCATCGATGCGAATGCTTTTTGCTACCATTGAAGTTATTGCTTCTATGAATTTGGTGTTCACCATGTTGTGCTAATAAAATATGGCAACTTGGACCGATGCATATATGTGCCTGGTCATACGTCGTAGCTGACTGGTTGAGTTTTTCCCCTGAGTTCATAGTCATAAAATATTTCGATACAGTAGAGTCACGAGTTACAACGCAATGTTTATCCAGCATTCCCTGTTTCATTTTCGTCTTATTTCTCTTATTTATATATTGGGTAATTTTTAGCCTATGTGTTCAAACTAGAAATGCGAAGAATGGCTTGATAAGAAATGAATTGAAATAAGCGTTTAATTAAAAGCACTAAGGAAATCTTCGTTTGCATTGAATGAAATGCTTAATTTTCCCTGAAAGCTAACTTCCTCTGTTCCAATCTATAAGATCACAAGTCAGCATTTCATTTCTTTTATTACGGTTTAGTAGTAGATCAGCTTGGTTAACACTGATACTACAGGTTCTGTCTGTGGTTGTAAGTACTGATCTTGTAAATGAGTTCCATTCTTTCTTGTTTAAAGATAACGAAACATTGATTAAACCAAAAGAAATTTTGTTTCTTTTGTGCACATTATTTCTTTATTCATAGAACTTCACATGCTTACTCTCATGGAGGTCAAACAAGCTAATAAATTCGTCGTACAAACTTCGGTTGCCTTCTTATCTTCGTACTCAGGAGAATTCCGGTAAAGCATCGCGTCCTGGAGAAAGCAAGAATGATCAAACATCTAATATTCGTATTACTGTTTTAAGTATTTATGAAGATAATATTTATTTTAGCAAAGTTTGAATTGCGGTTTTCATTTTCTCGAAATAAAATGCCTGACCCTCCTGGTGGATGGTCTTTTGCTTCTTGGGTTATACTTGGTGCTGTTGGTTTAACATGGGTTGTCTACCACAATTTTTCAATGTACAGAAAGGTCGATTGGAAAGAGTTTACAGATAACTTCCTACAAAAGTAAGGCTTCAACATATTTCTTTACTTTATTATGGTAGAAACTTGTTAGATTAGTTGTCCAACCTTACAAACAAGTAAAGTGTCCTTATTTGGTAGGATACCCTAGCGTTCACATACGCACGTGCTAATTTTCTTCACAAAATTGCAACTTCAATAATGGTTCTTATTTCGTCAAGTTCTAGTTTAGCATACTGGTTGTGAAGTTCAATGAGTATTGCAACTCATTGATATTTGGTTAAATCGGTCATACAAATCTTTGTGTATCTTTATATTTATGTAGCACAAAAGACATGGTACTAAGCTTATTTTCAATGTGAACTAATGTCGAACACGAGCTCTTAGTTTACCAATCAGCAAATCAGTTGGTTAACCTTGATCACTAGTTTGTTTTGGAATGCGAATGATAGTTAATAGCTAATACAACACTCTTTATAGTCTTTGGTCCTTTTTGTCTCTCTTGTCTACGTCTCACGTGTCTACTTGGTTAATGTTAAGTTTTTTGCAAACACTAGAAAACTCCAATCCTCAAAGGTCACTTTTCCCATGTGGACTACTATTTTGTTAATTTTTAGCGTAAGAATGTATTTTCTTGAGTATTCAAACCTTGTCATCTGTTCATTTATAATGGATATGACTTGGAGCATAGTACACGGGTGATCTATCCGTGTTTCTTGAGTTTCGAATTCTTCATAAGTCTGAACTTCTCACCTTAATACTGTTCTATCTTGAATGTATCATCAATGTCACCCAAAAGTTCAGCTACCTGTGATTAAAATACTACCGTAATTTTTCCCGAGATCATAACGTTTACATTAGTACGACAGTTTTTAAACTATTTTTCCACTCAGTTTGTGGCATTCATGCTTTTTATTACAAGGCTTGTCTGTTCTCTCTGATTTAGTTTGAAAAAAGTTGAAAAATAATTCTGAATATTAAATTTTAGACTGTTAATTTAATCAATATGAAATCAGAATTTGCAACTCCATGTGGTATTCATTAATATTATTTTATTTTCTCATTCCTATTTAGCTTGATATGTTTTTATAGTTAGTACTCTCATCTGATTTCTCAGAAATTTAGCTAGTACCAGGAGATTCACTTTTTGACTTAACATTCATAGACCATATAGCTATGTTTAATGAAAACTGTCGCCAAACTAAGGCTTCTGATCGCCGTGAGTGATAATGTAAACAAATTTGGCAAATATTTCTCCTCAAATAGCGATATTTTACCTCAGCGTTGTTCTGTGTCAACCCCTGTACTAATAATACGGGGTGAAGTATTTAAGGGTATCTACTTCACTTATTCTAGTAGTCTCATCAGCCCTAGTGGGTTGGTGTCCGACTGAATTTCGTCACGGATTCAAAAAGCTCGTTT